GATGACTTGACAATCTCCTGCGGAAATTATAGCTATCAGTTTATCGAAACTATGTAGCGTGTTCGAATATTATTATTTTTTATTTAAAGTCTCGATAAATTAGAATAAGTCGGTGTTTTCCCTTCTCTCCCCTTAAGGATACGTGTTTGTTGGGGTCTTCACCAAATTTCTGCTAACTCCTTTGGAAGGTCTCTGGGTTTTCGAGTCTCCTTCTCAGACTGTGCAAAGGTGCAGGATAACATCCTGACAGATAAGGTGGTCGCATAAATTATTGGATAGGAGCACTGCTCTTGCTTGTCCCTTTTTGGGATGGTACTTTTCATTGTTATGGTTTCCCCTGATCATTCATGCACTGAGAGATAGCAGCTACACAAAGATTAAGCATGCCTCAGCGACATAATTATGGAAGTTAGAGGCAATAGAAGACAAGGGGTTCCTCTTAAAAGTAGCCTTGGATATGATGGCAACTCACAGAAAGAAACGGGGTCTCGACATTTTGGACCCCCTGCAGCAGAATAAGACCTTATTAGCCAAATGGACTGTTCACGCCATGATAGAGCCTGCAATATATACTTGGAACGGAGTGGGACCTGCAAGATTACACCAAGGTTTGGGTTTGCATGCTGTTACCCTCATTTTGTAACGGTAGGCCTGACTCTAAGATTTGGAAGTATATTATAGGGGCTTAGAACAAAGTCAAGCTACATGAAGTACACCCCCCATAGTCTAAGTTGTTGGTGCTCAACCAACTCCTATGTGATAACTTTTGTATACTCCAACCAGATGGTGATTATTTTTCTGCATCAGAACGGAGTGGGACCTTCGGGCCGAGCTAGATTAAGAAAGGGGCTTTGCAACTTAAAGATGTTTGAGACTTGACACACTCAAGATTTTTTGACTATGCACAGATAAAAAAAATGTTATCAAGATTACATAATGTGACATAACACTTTTTAAAACTCAAGGAAGTCATACCAGCCTCATGGATTAGCCTGCTGCAACTAAATACAACTTGAAAGCATGCAACCGACACCTGGCTACGGTCGGTGGATAAGCCGAATCAGATCCTACAGGTCGTGGGCCTAGATCTGGTTTAAGGCCTCAGGGTCCAGCAATGATGATTACCAACTGGTGCAACTGACTTAGGCAAATTGCTCATGGAGGATGAGAATTATTAGACCAATCGTACTAGAGACATGGTGGAAGTGAGAGTACATAATTAGATATCCAGGCAAGGGAAGTCAATGACAACACTGTTCGCAACCCTTCAGGGTTGCGTTTTATGCCCTTGGAAACTTTCAATATTCAACGTCGGTGGGTGCCACTGGGCATTTTTGTTTGAGGGCTTAGCAAGGGGCGGGGCACGCGAAGGACCGATCGCGAGACAAAAACGAAGAGGCACGAGCGCAAGAGCCTGAAAGTTTGAAAAGTCGAAACGACGCGACCTAGGTCTGCACCATTCAGGCTCCGCCAACCAACTCCTGCCCAGCGATTGCCCCCATCTACTGAAGGTTTTTAATGTATCTGGACTTATTCTTACTGGACCAGATTAAGGGATGAAGCAACTTTCATACTCTCTTTTGTTCTTTCCGTCTCTCTTCCTCTCTCTCTCTCACACACACATACATACTCACGTTTCAGTTTCACTGGGCCTACACCCCTCTCTCTCTCTCTCTCTCACTCTCTTACATACACAAACACAATCACATACACAGTGTCACACTCACTTACTCTCACATACACATACACTCACTCCCACACTTATGCACTATCACACACACACATATATACACACACACACACACTTTGGAGTTGTGCATAGCGAACATGACAAACGATATCAACAGACAAACTACGGGGTGCACACCCATGCCCTCACGGTAAGTCAATTGCTGAATGCGGAGCACTTCAAAGTCGAACCACTTTTTGTTGGGATTGAAGGATCAAAGTGGGCATGAATAATATGTCCCCCTGTACCAATACCGCTCCAAGCGTCCAATTGCAACGAATGCGTTTGAAAAAAAAAACACATGCCTTGGCAGTAGATCGGGCTAAAGCACAACAAATTGCAGGCGTCACGAAACAAAGACTCCACAAGTTTTGGAAGACACTTATGAAATGGTCAGTCCAGAAGCACACAAGCATTATGTGGCCTCACTCCCTTATGCTGACGGCCACTGCGATGTGACCTTTATCCAGAGGAATGGAAGTGTCCACCGAATGTTTGAGATGTAACTGAGGGTGGGAGAATATGAACCACCTCTGGCCACTCAACCCTTTAGTCGACGAAGTGTTAATATGGTGGAAGAGGCATTGGGGGATGATAGTAGGAAGCGATTTCGATTGGTGGATTTTTTGGATGCTCACGAATCTTCTCCATTTGAACTTATATTACTCCTCTGGCTGAGGCTATGTATCCCTATGATGTAGGGGAGTGGTAATGGAGACCTTTGGGCATCGTTGAATGCAAAAGTTTTTAGAGGTGATATCTATAGAAGACGACAACAACTTCAGAAATAATAAAGTACGAGAAGGATTATTCGGACTCATTGGCCGCGAAATAATGTTATTTGGTTCCAAAAGACCTGGGCATATAAGAACAGGCTAGTGTCGGTTGACCAAGAGGGACGGTTTAGTATCTGCCCCTAATTGTCAGACACGTATGACTGATGAATGAATTAAAAACAAAGGGCCGAAGTTAGGCTCGCCTTAATTTTGGTATTTGAGTAAGTATTGCCTGGAAGTTTTGCGTGTCATTGGGAGTTTATTTTAGCAGATGTACCTTGGAGGTGTTATTTCACCCTCCCCCATGTTTATTGTGCTTCAAGTTTATTTTTGTAAGGATTCTAAATTGGAAGGTTTTAGAGGGCTATGAGACAATGGACCCTGTTTCCAGTACAAGCATAAGCTGGGTATGGGCCCCAGTATTATCCGGGTTGTTCGCAGCCCTAAGGCTGCAGTCTAGTGGGGTTCGGCGTCTTTGTCAAGGTGTCGCATTTTTTGAGGACGCAAAGTTGTTTCTTAGGGGGCAAAAAATTTGGGGGAACCGGTCCTTGTCAAAATTGCAGACTACCTACAGTTAGCTCTGGTAGAGCCGGGACTTTTGGAAAAAGAAAGGACCAGTCCTCGGGTGGAAGTGGACCCCAAAAAGAAGTGGGGGGCCTTAGACGGGTCCACGGGTGGAAGCGAACCCCAAAACGAAGTGAGGGCATGCGAACTGCAAAGGGGCCCTCAGGCCCAAGTGTTAAGGTCCGTTTTATCAAAACAGGGAGGTCAGGCGCAACGAAACAGGCGTTTTGCAAGAGGCACCTTTGGCGATTTTCTGTGCTTGGAGGAACCCGCAAAAAAATCTAAAATTTTTAAAATCCATAGTTGAGGTCGTGTTTTTTCTAGGAAAAATATTAGAACATTTTTAAAAAAATCATTTAGACCTAGAACTAATCATCGCGCCGATTCGGCACATTTCCCATTTTTGCCACTCAACCATGTGTGGGCCAACTTAAAAAGTACTCCAAATTCAGTGATTTTTCACTCTCAGAAGAATGCGTGAAAAAACCTGCAAATTGGAGTACTTGTAGATTTTGTTGTGATCTTTCCAGGAAAAACGATAAATAAATTAAAAAAAATCATTCCAAGTGTGAAATAGATCGCGGTCGCAATTTAACCCATATTTCAATTTGATCATTTAGCCTCTCTCTCTCTCTCTCTCTCTCTCTCTCTCTCTCTCTCTCTCTCTCTCTCTTTGTGGTAGGCCCCCCGCCTCCCTCTCTCTCTATCTCTCTTGCTTTCTCTCTCTCACTCGTATTAACAAATGGAATAAAACTCTCTCGTAGTCTCCCCGTCCTCCCTCCCTTTCTCTCTGGTAGCCCCCCCCCCCTTCCCTCTCTCTCTATTTCTCTTTCTTTCTCTCTCTCACTCTCTATCTCTCTCTCACACTCGTAACAATAAATGGAACAAAACTCTCTCTCTCTCTCTCTCTCTCTCTCTCTCTCTCTCTCTCTCTCTCTCTCTTGTGCGAGCTCTAGTCTCATTGATTTGGCTACCTTAGGGCTGCGTTCCCCGCATTAGACAATTTGTGAGGATTCCTGACCTCTTTCTTATATCTGCCATAAAAGTATGTGTTTCTTCCAAAAATAAAGGGGAAATTTGTCTGGCGTCCCTGTAATTTCCATTATATTACATCGCGCCCCTTCGACAGACCACTTACCCTGTTGTTCCCCTGGGGCCTCTGAACTTTTATGCATGCCCCTGTCAACAAGGGGCGCAACTTTCCACGGCGCGCTTATTGGACGGTCAGTCCCATTTCACTGGTCCCTGCGTGATATGCCCTCATGAGGGGCACAAATCTTTCCGTTATGTACTCGCGCTGTAAATTCAAATTTGAAGCACGTGGTTTTTGACGGTGTGTGTGTGTGTGTGTGCGTGTGTGTGTGTGCGTGTGTGTGTGCGTGTGTGTGTGTGTGTGTGTGTGAGAGAGAGAGAGAGAGAGAGAGAGAGAGAGAGAGATGAAATGG